GAATGCAATGGACAGGGACATTTCTTTTGTCATAGCATCTTTTACAAGTGAAATTCCTAGTTAGACTATAAACAAAAACAGCTGTGCAATTTCAGACAAGTTCCATACACCGAAAGATGGAGTCAAATTTAAAAATGAAACAGTTATTGTGGAGTTTATGTTCCTCAGCTTTTATTGTTTTTTTTTTTTTTAAATTTATTTATTATTATTAAACTTCAAGTTGTAGGGTACATGTGCACAGCGTGCAGGTTTGTTACATATGTATACTTGTGTCATGTTGGTGTACTGCACCCATCAACTCGTCATTTACATCAGGTATAACTCCCAATGCAATCCCTCCCCTCACCTCCCATGATAGGCCCGGTGTGTGATTTTCCCCTTCCCGAGTCCAAGTGATCTCATTGTTCAGTTCCACCTCCCGGTGAGAACATGTGCGGTATTCGGTTTTTATTTCTTGTGATAGTTTGCTTTTAAGAATGATGGTTTCCATTTACATCATGTCCTACAAAGGAGACTAAACTCATCCTTTTTTATGGCTGCATAGTATTCCATGGTGTATATGTGCCACATTTTCTTAATCAATCTGCTCACTGATGGACATTTGGGGTTGATTCCAAGTCTTTGCTATTGTGAATAGTGCTGCAATAAACATATGTGTGCATGTGTCATATAACAGCATAATTTATAATCCTTTGGGTATATACCCAGTAATGGGATGGCTGGGTCATATGGTACATCTAGTTCTAGATCCTTGAGGGAATACCGCCATACTGTTATAATGGTTGAACTAGTTTACAATCTACAACAGTGTAAAAAAGTGTTCCTATTTCTCCACATCTCTCCAGCACCTGTTGTTTCCTGACTTTTGAATGTTCGCCATTCTAACTGGTGTGAGATGGTATCTCATTGTGGTTTTGATTTGCATTTCTCTGATGGCCAGTGATGATGAGCATTTTTTTCATGTGTCTGTTGGCTGTATGAATGTGTCTTCCTTTTGAGAAATGTCTGTTCATATCCTTTGCCCACTTTTTGTGGGGTTGTTTGTTTTTTTCTGTAAATTTGTTTGAGTTCTTTGTAGGTTCTGGATATTAGCCCTTTGTCAGATGAGTAGATTGTAAAAATTTTCTCCCATTCTGTAGGTTGCCTGTTCACTCTGATGGTAGTTTCTTTTGCTGTGCAGAAGCTCTTTAGTTTGATGAGATCCCATTTTGTCAGTTTTTGGCTTTGTTGCGTTGCTTTGGTGTTTTAGACATGAAGTCTTTGCCCATGCCTATGTCTGAGATATTTTCACCTAGGTTTAGCAATATATGCTTTCCTTCCTTCCTTCCTTCCTTCCTTCCTTCCTTCCTTCCTTCCTTCTTTTTATTTTTGAGAGAGGGTCTCACTTTGTTGTCCAGGCTGGAATACAGTGGTGTGATTATGGCTCACTGCAGCCTTGACCTCCTGGGCTCCAGTGATTCTCCTACCTTGGTGTCCAGAGTAGCTGGTACTACCAGCACATGCCTCCATGCCTCCATGCCTGACTAATTTTTGTATTTTTTGGAGAGACAGGGTTTTGCCATGTTGCCCAGGCTCAAGCTCAACTCCTGGGCTGAAGTGATCCACCTGCCTCGACATCCCAAATTGCTGAGATTACAGGTGTGAGTCACCGTGCCTAGCTAATCTTTCATTTTTTAAAATCCAGCCTTTTCTACATGAATGTAGGTATTTTTACATAGTTGAGATCATGCTGCATATATATATATATATATATATATATATATATATATATATATATA